TTCTCCTTCGCGGCTTTAATTTGTTTTTCCAATTCCAGAGCTATCCTTTCTGCTTCCCTCTCCTTCAATTCCTTGTGTTCCCTTTTCACTTCATCCAGTTCCACTCTCAGAGAATTCACCAAACTTCGAAGCGAGCATTCTTCATCTGCAACTTGCTGCAGAGTCCTTGTAGCCTCATTAAGGTCCTTGGTTACAACTCTGACTGTGTCCATTTCAGAGGCATGAGCCTTTTTCATGTCCTCCTGCAAAACCTTGATCTCTTCAGTTGTTTCAATGAGTTTCGCCTCCAGGTTTCGGGCCAGCTCCGGATCATAGCCTTTCTTCAAGGCCTGAAGTTTCTCCTGGGCATTTTCTTTGGCAGTTGTATAATATTGTCTAAATGCCTCTTTTTCTTCTGCAATCTTTACCACCTCTTGCTGGTTCTGGGCAGTGGCAAACCTAAACTGTCTAATAGCTTCTTTCATGGTTGCAATTTCCTTATTGAGTTCATTAACCCTTTCCGAGTTTTGGTTGGCTGAGCGTTGAGCTTCTGCTGCCTGTTGGAAATTAGTTAGTTTTGCTTCCTGAACAGCGTCAATATCCTGTCGCATTTTCGTGAGCCGTTGCTTCGCTGAATCAAGTCGACCAGTCGTTACCAAGTACTGCTCTCTTGCCAGCTCTAATTCCTGGTTCCTAGTAACTCCACTTGATTTTTTCAATTCAAGTTGCTCAAATTTATGCTTCACAGCATCTTTTATTTCAATTGCAGATCGCTTGGACTTGTTCACTGTTTCAAGTTTGTTGCTTAAATCTGTCATTGTTCTTTTGGCTCTTTCAAGGTCAGTGATCGCTCGATCTTTTGTAGTTTCCGCACTATCCAGCTTTTGCTTGATTTTGTTCAGTTCTTTCTGGGTCAACATCAGCTGTGTCTCTTTGTCCAAGATATTCTGGCAAAACCAAAACAGCAGATGAACTTATCGTTACGAAATAAATTCCTCCGGCAACGCGATAACTGTTTAGGCATCAGAGCATCTACACTAGAGTTTGTTTTGCTTCTCTCTCTGGGCTTATAGATTCAACAACCAGAAAATAACACCAAACACACGGTCATTAATCTAGAGTAGAATGAGATTTAAATCGTTTTATCTTTTACTATATGATCTTATAAATAGGTTAACTCTAATATCATATTAGATAAGTAACTGTGATCAATAATTTCAAAATTTTAAATTGATAAAAATCTGAACAACCTATCAATATAATTTACCAATTTGAACTTTTTGAGTTTTAAAGATTCTCAAAGTTAACTTTGATATTATTTCATACAAGTAATCGAGATCAATCATCTCAAAAGTTTAAACTAATAAAAAAAGTAAACAACCTATTAATATAATCTACCAATTCGAGTTTCGAGTTTCCAAGAAACCCAAGATATTAATTCTAGAGCAAACATCATTATAATTCGGCGTATTCAGATACTATTTGTTGAATTACGAGAGGTTAACTAAGATGAATGCACCTCAGAAGAAAGTTTAGACCTCCTCGGAGTACTTCTCTGCCTGGAAATGGCCACTTCACCGAATAGACTAACAGCAGCTTTCACAGATTGAAACGGAGCTCGAGTGTCGATCTCTCCAATTTCTGTCTTTGGAGAGCCCGGATACTTTTGCCGATCGGTATTTATCCGAACGTTCACCATCTTTCCTTTTTTCTTTTCTAACCCAATTCTCTGCAACACAAAATCCAATAAAAATTCCAATGCTAAATTCAACACTCAAGTCAATTCAAGCCTAAAAAATTCCGTGGAGTCTATCTTAGATTTTGCGCTGATTAGATTTTTTTTAAAAGAACTGCGTATACATATATAAGCATATATATTGAACTGGTTAAGAGGAGAATCACGAAAACAATAAATGTACCTCTAAGTACGATTGAAATGCATAACAAGGACGACCAGCGCGAGATTCTGATGGATAATTTTCCGAGAAATGGAAAGAAAAAAACAATCCTAGAAAAGAAAATTCGCAAGCTGTTCGGCTTTCTTGTTCTTCTCTCTGAGTCCCTCAGTCTATGAGCAAACCAGAAAAAGAGAAAGAGGCCACGAGACCTTTGCGGGAAAATAACGGTTTAAATTAGCTTGACAAATATAGTATTAGGGTGAAAAGACAAAAACACCCCTCAGCCTTGTGAACGCGCAATGGAGAATTTACTTTGGCGGAGTTAGGGGTAGAAATGGAAGTCCAAAAATTAGAAAAATTTTGTTGGATAATTTGGAAGGATGAGATGAATCAGACAACGTTAACCATCTAAATCCGTATTGCTAAATAGCTCAAATTAGGCTGTAATAAAGCCTAGCTTTATATCACCTGTCATATATATATATATATATATATAGGAATTTATAATATATTCTAACATATAATTTTTACAAAATAAAAGAAATATTATAATATTTAAAAAAGAGTATTTAAAATTATAATAATTAATTTAATTTAATTTTTACATTAAAATTTAACGTGGTGTTTAAATTTGGTTACTTATAATATTTTTGGGTATAATTTAAATTAATATAAATTAATTTATCATTATAATTTATTTAATTAATTAATATACGCTTCGACTCGTATTTTTCGTTTTCTATTATTTTAACAAATATAAATAATACAATTTTGTAATAGCGTCTAAAATAATAATAAATGTAAAATAATATAAATGACGATGTATATAATCATTCTGTCTCCCTCTCTCTCTCTCTCTCTCTCTCTATATATATATATATATATATCTGTGTATATATATATGGATCTCCTATACGTACATTTCTAATCTAGACTCATATAGACCAGAGACATCCAGTCCAGGACGGCTGCTGAAAGAAAGTAACAGACAAGGAATGGAAGAGAGTGATTATGTGCCTCTTTTCGAAACGAAACCAGTCAGGGGACGTCTCCTCTACCGTCTGTACACTTGTTCAATCTTTTTAGCTATCTGCTCAATCTTCTTCTACAGAGTGAGCTACTTTCCAGCGGACGGGGGAGCTCGAAGAATAGCGTGGCTTGGATTGTTTCTTTCAGAAATTTGGTTCACTTGTTACTGGTGTATCACAGTCATCGTCAGATGGAATCCTGTTCATCGTTACACTTTCAAAGACAGACTCTCTTGCAGGTGACTTTGTGTTAATTTCTTGTAGCGGCTTGTACTCCTGTTTTGATCCATTTCTGTTTCTTTTTTTTTATAAAAAAAAATTTAAATCCTCTCTTGCAGGTCAATTTGCGTTTGTTTCTTGTAGCTACTATCCTGGCCTGTACTCCTGTTTCTTTCATTTCTGTGTTTTCAAATTTTAAATCAGTTGAATCTATTTTTGTTTGAAATTTTGAAGGTACGAGAAGTTTTTACCTGGTGTAGACGTGTTTGTTTGCACGGCGGATCCAACAATAGAGCCGCCGGTTATGGTGATGAACACGGTTTTATCAATCATGGCTTATGATTACCCGGCGGAGAAGCTGAGTGTGTATTTATCTGATGACGGTGGGTCGGATTTAACCTTCTACGCCTTGTTAGAAGCCTCGCTTTTTGCGAAGCATTGGTTGCCGTTTTGCAGGAAATTCGGCGTTGAACCGAGATCACCGGAGGCTTATTTTCAGACTGCAACTAGACCGGTTGAGGATAACGAGTGGTGTTCAATCAAGGTGACGAGTTCATTATTTTTTCTTGTCTTTTTCCAGTGGTTATTATCATCAGATTCGGAGTACTTCCGAAATTGAATTGTTGCAATTTTTGAATTGAATTATTTATTTGAACTCTGAAACCATATAGTACAAAGATTATGATACACTGATAAACTAAGCGTCAATCGGATCATATAATTTGGATTTAAACTTAGAGATTATATGAAGACATGAAGGAAAGAATTGAAACCGCCACGAAACTCGGTCAAATTCCAGAAGTAATTCGAAAACAACACAAAGGATTCCGCGAATGGGACTTTGTTTCTAGTCGTCATGATCATCAGACCATTCTTCAAGTACATTTTCCTCAATACTATTTCAGAGATTTTCGTAACTTAAGTTTTCAGCTCAGTTAAAATGGTGTAATTTGAAATTTCTCTCTTAGATCCTGGTCGATGGAAGAGACAGTGAGGCTGTTGATGTTGAAGGTCAAGGTCTGCCGACTCTGGTGTACTTGGCGCGCGAGAAGCGGCCTGACTATCACCATAATTTCAAAGCAGGAGCCATGAACGCACTGGTAAGAATTTGTAAATTGATTAATTAGTTTAATCGTAATTTGATCTTTCATCTTGCTTTATTAAATACAGATGAGGGTGTCATCAATGATAAGCAATGGTGAAATTATTCTTAATGTTGACTGTGACATGTACTCGAACAATTCGGAGATTGTAAGAGATGCTTTGTGCTTCTTCATGGATGAGAAGAAGGGAAATGAGATTGGTTTCCTACAGTATCCTCAGGCATTCTACAATCTCACAGCTAATGATATTTATGCAAGTTCATTGAGTGTAGAAAATCTGGTGAGCCTGCATTTCAAATTTCACTTTCAAGTCGGAAAACCCTTCTACAATTGTTTAATCTTGTTAAATCAAGACAGATTCTCTATGCTTATTTAATTTCGAAGGATGAACATCTCTTCCGAAAAGGTGAAAATCGAATTCTTAGACAGTTTCAAGTGGAAGTGGGAAAATGCATTTCAAGTTCCATTACAATAATCTGTTTCCACTGCCGAAACTGATTGTTGGGCTTATTTCTTTTTGTGTGATATCATCTTGGATATACGTGGAATGTAGGTGGAGCTTCCTGGGATGGACGGAAATGGAGGACCTTGCTACATTGGTACTGGATGCTTTCACAGGAGAGAAGCTCTTTGTGGGAAGAAATACAGCAAGGACTATAAGGTAGATTGGAAGAGAGTAAATCTCACAAAGATTGAGAATTGCAGAACAAGTTTCTCCGAAGAAACATGCAAAGTTCTTGCAAGTTGCACCTACGAACACAACACAGTCTGGGGAAAAGAGGTCTTTCCATCCGTCTCTCTCGCTCTGTCTCTCTTTAACTTTCCGAATACAAAACACAAAAACAAATTTCACGGAATGCCAATTACTTATATACGATGAATATGGTAATTCAATGTAGATGGGTCTAAAATATGGCTGTCCGGTGGAGGATGTAATCACAGGGTTATCAGTACAAAGCAGAGGATGGAGATCATTGTACTCCATTCCCAAAAGACCTGGTTTCCTTGGTGTTGCACCTACAACATTGTTGCAGTCATTGGTACAACACAAGAGTGGGGTGAGGGTGATTTACAGATTTTTCTCTCACACTACTGTCCTTTCATTTATGGACATAAAAAAATCCCCCTCAAGCTGCAAATTTCTACTGTATTTACTTGCTCTGGCTGCAAATTCCTGCCAACTTCTCTATGTCACTGTCCCACCGCTCTGCTCGCTTA